AACTCCCAGAACTCCCCCAGCCAGCTATGCTGGCTGGGGGAATTCTGGGAGTTGAAGTCCACAGGACTGAAAGTCGCCAAGGTTGAGAAACACTGGCTTAGATAATAACTCGCCCTGCTACTTATACCCCCGATAAGCAGGGATTAACAGCAGACAAAAAATCAAGCAGAAAACTAAACCTTAATCAGGAAACCACCAAGAATTTCCCACTGACCTACATAAACAGAGAGCAAACCCCACTCCCTTCTAACACTGATGATGTTACACCTAACTGGGTCATGAAACGCCTGCGAGGAAACCACCAAACTCATTCAGCACCCCCACAATTGTTCCTCCACTCCGCAAACCCCCACTCCCTCCTTGCCCTGATGAAGTTACCTAGCTGGGCCATCAAACGTATGCAGGGACCTCGCAGTTTGACACCCAGCTACGAATATTCTCTTCTAGCCGCATTATAGCATTGTTTTGACAGTTATCTTGGAGTGTCAAGGGGGGGGGGGTTTCCCCCAAAATCTACCCACGCCTTTCGTGGCTGTTTCTTCCCAGAAAGAATCTCCAAACATTCCCTCCCCCCCCCCGGGAAGTTCCTTTGTCCAGAGCAGAAAGTTATTTCCGTGTTATCCCAGCTGGATCTTAGGAACAGGCTGGATTTGAACTCGAGGCCTTTGGTGGAGTGACCAACCCTCTCTTGTTTTCCAGAACCAAAAGAATCTTTTCATCTTCTCCAAGACGATGTTCAAAGGGACTTGGATCATCCTCAAATGTAAGCGCCGAGATCCCCCCACAAGCGGGAGAATTAAATCGAAATTTGGACTGGCTGGGGTGGTTTACAGGAGTTTTATATTTCTCTCTCTTTTTGGGGGGGACAGTTCCCCATGAATTCTGCAAGGATCAGGACGGGGTCCTGAACGTCACCTGGTACCTCCGCACTTCCCACTGCCACCATGAAGTCTACATAAATGTGAGCCGCTCGTCTCCGCAGGGAGGGATTTGAGGGATGGGCTGGAACCTTAACCCCCTCCACACACACCCCTGTGGGGCTCAGCGGGAAGGGACTCCCCCTCCTCAAAGCTGGGCATCTGGACCCACTTGACAGCTGGCGGATGGTTCTAGGGGTTTGGGTGGGTGGGCTCTCTTAGCCCTTTCTCCTTTCAGGAAAACGAAGCGTTGACCTACCTGAGCAATCCCGACATTGAAGCCAGCGTCCTGGGAGACGGCGAGTACACCTGGAACAACACCTCGGTGCAGTGTGGACAGTTGCACAAGGTGCGGGCTCATCACGGAGGACTCCCAGGGGTTGGCCTTCCAGCGGTTGGAGAACCAGAGTAGCCTCATGGTGGGGAAGCTGATGGGAGAGAGAGTGCGTAGCTCAGGGTTGAAACCGCGGAGTCCTTGCAGCTCTCTGAATCTGCAGGCCTTTCACGACCCAGCTGTGTAACGTCATCACTGCTAGCAGGGAAGGCGGTTTGCAGGGAGGAGGACTGTGGAGTCCTTGGGCTTGGTGGCTTTCTTGCAGACGTTTCGTAGCCCAGCTAGGTAGCTTGATCAGTGCTGGCTTGCGGGGGGGGAATTCATCCCCTCCAGCAACCAACGTCTAGATAAGCAGGGATTAACACCCGACAAACGATCAAGCAGAAAACAAGACCCTAATCAAGATCCTAGCAAGGGGGAAACCACCCCCACTAACCCCGGCAGGGCAAATGAGTGTATATATCAGTGTTTCTCAACCTTGGCAACTTGAAGATGTCCGGACTTCAACTCCCAGAATTCCCCAGCCAGCGATGCTGGCTGGGGAATTCTGGAAGTTGAAGTCCGGACATCTTCAAGTTGCCAAGATTGAGAAACACTGGTGTATATCAATGGGGAGCAAACCCCACTCCTAGCACTGACGATGCTCCCTAGTTGGGTCATGAGACGTCTGCAAGACCCCCGCCCAACTCTCGGCCTCAAGGACCCCACGGTGGGAAACGCATAACTTGGTGCACTTGAATGGGGGGTGGGGGAGTATTATTTGGAGGGTCTCGACTAACGCCACTGCCTCTTCTCCTCCTCTCTGTTTCAGTTGAATGTCCAGGAACTCCCGCTTCCGAAAAAGCTGAGGCACCTCTCAAATGAAGGGGTAACCGACGGGGGGACGACTTGGGGATTCTGGCAATGAGGGGAGGGGGTGAAACTGATTGGGGGGGTGGGTGAAGGTGGGCTACACCTTTGACTTCAAAGTCCAGGTGCTGCTGGTGGCCAGCAAGTGACTTAACGTGGCCTTAAAACTAGTAAACTGAAAACAATGCTCCTTACACGAAGTCCTTGACTTACAACCGTTGGCTTAGTTCAGAGTTATGACGGCTCTGGGGGGAAAAAAATGACTTGGGGCTGGTCTTCATCCTTAACGACCGCTGCCGCGTCCCCATTGGTCACGCCATCCCCGTGGCAACTGACTCATGTTTATGACGGCCGCAGAGAAGTCCCTGGATCACGCGGTCCCCCTTTTGCGACCTTAAGTCAAGGAGGAAGCCAGATCCACTTAACAACGGCAGTGATTCGCTTGAAAAATTGCGGCGAAAAAAAAAGTTGGAAAATGGGGAAAAACCCGCTTAACAACTGTCTCGCTTAGCAGCAGAGGATTTGGACTCAGTTGTGGTCATAAGTCGAGGACTCACTGGGTTTGTTATAATTTATATGGCGCTCCCCTCACCTGGAGGTCCTTCCTGGTCCTTTACAGGCNAGAGTCAGCATATTGCCCCCAACAACAATCCGGGTCCTCATTTTACCCACCTCGGAAGGATGGGAGGCTGAGTCAACCCTGAGCCAGTGAGATTAGAACCGCCGAACTGCAGATAGCAGTCAACTGAAGTGGCCTGCAGTACTGCACTCCTAACCACTGCCCCACCTCGGCTCAACTGCATCAAATGGACTAGAACCAAAGTAGAATGGGTTTTTTTTTTAACTAGCAGAGAGAGAAAGATTTGTTCAAATCTAACTCCTCCTAATGATATTGTAATGGATTTCTGGAGTGAGTAAGGGGTCAGACTAGATGGTCTCTCGGGTTCCTTCCAGCTCAGCTGGCGCCCTTCAGATATATCCCCCAGCCAGTTCCCTCCCCTTGTCTGCCGAAAAATGAGGGTTCCCATTCCCCATGAGACTCAGTTTCCCTCCTAGCCCCTTTCCCCAGATCCCGGATCACCCAGCTGGCTAAAAAGATCCATCCGATGGGTGGGGCAGGGAAAAATCGCTAGATAAAAGAACCATCCCCTTCAGATACTAAACAAATAAACCTGTCCTACAGCTGGATTTGCAAGCCGGGGCTTACTCATAGTTTACTCAATGCACATAACTCCCTGGGTTTGCAGGTTGCATTCAAGCGTGGAGTACCTGCACCGTACAGAAAAAGAGAGTTGGTTTCCTTGAGAGTTGTTTAGTAATACAAATTCAGTAACCAGGATCGCTCAAGAAGCGACACTCAATAAACCAGGGTTTGTCAACCATGGCGGCTCTAAGATGGGTGGACTCTCAATTCTGGGAGCTGAAGTCCACCCATCTTAAAATTGCCAAGGTTGGGAAACACGGAAATAAAGAGAATTTCACACTAGCTCACCAACCTGTTAAGACACGAAAAAGATGGTGTACTTCAACACCATTTCAAATCAAGGCCTTTTATTTATGCGGCAACGCATATAATATGTCGTGTGGGGCCTTTCCGAGCTGTGGACTTCAACTCCCAGAATTCCCCAGGGAGACTTCTATTCCCAGAAGTCCCCTTGTTGGCTGGGGGGAATTCTGGGAGTCGAAGTCCACAGCTTTAAAACTTGGCAAGGTTGACCCAGACTGGGATGGCAAGCCCAAGCAAGCGATCCTACGTCAGAACGGCGATGCACAAACTCTGCCAGGGGTGCGACAGATCATGCTCACGGCTCTTGGGGGTCCCTGCGGGGATCCCAATTGGGGGAGGGGGGTTTACCCACTTTGGCCTCTATGGGGCTGGCTGCCATTTGCTCTAGGCACCTTCTCTCCACCACTCCTGGTGTAGATCTAAGCCAGTGTTTCTCAACCTTGGCAACTTGAAGATGTCCGGACTTCAACTCCCAGAATTCCCCAGCCAGCGAATGCTGGCTGGGGAATTCTNTACATTTTGGTCCTGTAGAAAAAAACTACAGTGAAAAGCACTGAACAAATTTAAAAAAACTAGATTGTGACAGTAATTCCAAAGGAATAATGTGAAGAAACCTAAAAAGACATTAAGGGGTGGGGGGAGACTTGTTATTGATCATGCATGTATATCATCTAATCCAGATGATTGGAATAAAGAACAGGAGCCACATTACAACACGGCAAACTCTTGTAAAAATGTTGAGCTGAAAAATCAGGCAGCTAATATACGTTCATATCCTCACCTGCCATCTCCTGATGCAGTCCACCTTATGGCAGGTAACCCTTAACTCAGGAAATAAAACTACAACTGCTTTTCTAATCAAAAAAGATCCCCCCCCCTTTTCACAAGCTCAGCACTTCAAGTGAGTGTTGATAACTAGATAGGTTTTCTGGGTTACCCATCAATTACAAAAAGATCGAAATATTTTTAAATGCAAATGCTATGCTGCAGAAAAATGGAAAGAACGCTGTATCTGCGGCAAGAAAAATTGTTCAGCTATAAAACCCGCTGGCTGTATAGTACAGTTCTGTATTCTGGCGACCCACAGCTATTGGTATAATTATGATTTCTTACTCCATTAACCTAATTTGTATTTTGCGCAACGACGCGGAGAAAGCCTCAAACTAAACACAGCCACTAAAGCAGCGGCATGATCTCTGTTTAAAAAGCTAAACCGATAGAGATGGGCCGAGTGTCAGAAGAAAGACGACTCGAACCGAACTCCTACAAGATGTTTTGCAGAACGAGTTTCTATTTTTGCAGAACTCTCAAACTTCTTGGCCCGCTAAAAGTTCTTGGAGGTGCAAAGATGCGTTTCCGCGTTGCGCGCAAGAGAAGGCGAGGGCGACTTTCGCGCAAGAAGCGTCCGCGCCCCGCCCTTCGCCCAGATAGAGTGGCGGTGTGTTCGTTATTCCGCGGCGGAGGGAAGAGAGGAGCGGCTGCGTTGGCGGCGCAGTCCTTCTTGCCAGCCCGGCCATGGCTCTGAGCCAGGCAGGATCCACCATGGATCAACGAAGCAGCTTAGGTGGGTCGGGTTCCCGGGAGGGGAGCGCCTGGGGCGGGAATCGGCCCGGCCAATCCTGGCTAGGGTGCGTCCCCCTTGCTTGGGCTTTGCTCCGTCGTAGAGAGCGGCTGTCCTGCCTCGGGCTTTCCCCGCGGGCTTCACCTGTGCCTTGGGCACCCGGAGGAAGAAATCGTCGAAGGGGGGGGGGGTTCACCCTAGTTATAATAACAAATACAGGTGTTCGTTTCGAGAACTCAGACAGGGGACGTTAGAAGTGAACCGATGGATGTTCGAATAGCCGTGCCGATGACCACGATGGGTCTTTAATTTTCCGAAAAAGAATGATTGTTCTCCTCGTTAAACTCTGTAGTTTAGTTGTTGTTGTTGTTGCTACTGCTGAACAGGTGGAATAACTGAAGAACCTGTGGCGTTTACACAAGCTTCTCAGGAAAGACCCTGGTGTTTTAGGGGTTTCCTGATCCTGAGGATTTTCAAATGAAAATGTCGTTTTCCACTATAAGTACAATGAGCAAGACATACCTTTGATTACTCTCCACAGTTGTACAAGCAGTCAACACCAAATCACATTTCAGCTTACTAAATTGTGTGAACCCTCTTGTGGGAATAAGTTTATGGTTTAGTGTGACATGGGAATCCAGAATATATGCATGTTGTGCAAACACAACTTTGCTCTGCATGAAACCTAGTTCTAAGTTGTTGAACAACCATGTAAGCCATACATCACACTTTCCTTCCTTATGCTATGTTGAATAAACAGTTGGCTGCATTCACATACCAATTATATACATAGATACTTGAGAGACCGCCTGCTGCCAATTACCTCCACCCGACCGATTAGATCCCACAGATTAGGCCTCCTCCGAATTCCATCCGCCGGCCAGTGTCGACTGACGACTACCCGGAGGAGAGCCTTCTCTGTGGCTGCTCCGACCCTCTGGAACAAACTCCCCGTGGAGATTCGAACCCTCACCCCCCTCCAGGCCTTCCATAAAGCCCTTAAAACCTGGCTGTTAC